CCCCAAAACCCCAAAACCCCAAAACCCCAAAACCCCTTCTTATATTTAACAAATTGAGTTTTTAATGTTGACGATTCTCTTAGTCTATAGGAATGTATATAGGCATTCTCTTTTACACTTTCATTTTCACTTGGTCTTAACTTTCTGAAAAATATGTCATTATAGCTATACCATTTGTTGTTAAAACTGTTCTCGCAATGGGCTTGGTAATGGCAAGAATCAAGGGTTCCATAGTGATTACAAACAGCGTATCAATCATAGATATACTTTTTGGTAGAATAGATTTTTCTGTAAGTCACTATAAGGATATTTGCTTGAGAAGACAGGTTACCTTTGTCCAATAAGCTAGGCTCACCAAAGGATTTTGTCCCAACAAAGAAGAGACTGCCATTTCCTGACAAATGAAGGCCTCTGGGAACTCCAGTGCTAGGTATTAAGGGAAAGAAGAGAGTTTAGCTAGGAAACAAGTAAACACACTAGGGGAGACGCGACTGTTCAGGCATCTGTGTGGCAAGCCGATTTGAGGATTTTTACTGGAGGAAGCCTCTGACTGACTGAAAGATGCATCAGACAAAGAAATTCTTAAAAATTTATAGATATAAAACCGAACTATATTCGAATAGATCCAGTTCACCGAGTTTCTGAATTAGATGTTAAGCCTCTGATGGACTGACTCAGTAGCTATTCTCAGCAGAAAAAGATGCAAATGCCTGGAGAAGCCTTGTGATCAACCCTCAGAGATGCAGTATCTCCCACGTAGGGTTTATGAACGCTACCTTTATAGTCTAATTATACTCCTTGACATCATTGTCCACCAAGTGTTTACCCATACCTAGTCCTTTAAGTGGGAAATATATGAAATCATTATTCTTAACTGTTCTTTGTGCCTGACTGGTGATGACACATCTTCGAGAATTCTACCTCCTCCCACTTCCTACCCTCTTAGGCTCTTCCTTACTGAATTTTTAAGTTGAATTCATAATATTCTAGGTAGTTTGTAAACCTACATCTTTTTATAAGAGTCCTGTAGTTTGTTACAAGTTAAACAATTATATTTGTTATTTCCAGACAGAAACTCCTCAACGCTGAGCTGTTGGAAGCGATCATCGGAGCTTATATTTGAACTTTCACTAGTATTGTGGCCTGGGTGCTTTGCCATCTCAAGAGCATCAAGGTTGACCCTAGTCTCTCTTGGAAAGATGATCCTGAAAGAAACCTGATAGTTTGGAGAAAGATTTGGGGAAAGGTTTTCCATAAAGCTTCCAAAAGTTTTGGAAGAGTCTGGGAATTCTGCAAATTCTCTCATAGAGTAAAACTCTGAGTCATTCTTTAATTTTTAATTATTTTACTTATAATTGAAGCAATTAAGTGATCACAACGAAATAGATTGATATCCTACTGAAAATTATTTCTAGAAACAAAACCAGCTGTATTGTAGGAGATGAGATGAATATGCCCAATATTTTTCATCCTGAAACCCTTTAAGAGAATGCTGAATCTTCATCTAGCGGTTAAACTTTGAGTGTTTTCTTTTCTTGATCATTTTTTGAGAATATCTAACTGGATTACAATGAAAAGGACAAAAGAAAACCAAAATTGTCTTATAAACCCTCTTAACCTCTAAAAGAAGATACCAGATGTTATACAGTACTATAGAAGGATGATGCCTTGGCCATCCACTCTCCTTGCCAAGGCTATTGTAATGGGATTTAATTTGACCTTCATTCACTGCTTTATTCATATTAATTATTTGTCCTCATTCAATAACAAAGAATTTCCTCAAGCCAATCTCAGATGTTCAGTAGAACTTTTTGTACATCTCCATAATGGCATTTTCTTTATTCTCTGCCTCCTCGTAAACTTTAGAGTATTTCTTAGAGAGGGTAATCAATGGGAAAATGTATTTGAATATAGTAAATTTCAACCCTGAGCAAGTTCTCCCAGCACAATGTAAGAAGATCTTAGGTGTGCAAACATCATTGTAGTATGTAGACCCGAAATCGGTAGTGCATTCCTTTAAAAAGGTTACTTGGATTTAAAAAATGTTTAGCCTCTAATCTCTTTCAAACTGGGAATACTCAAAGGCTGCGAGTTTCTCATTTTCTAATTCAGAAACGCTGATATCATTCTGGTCCCAATATTTTATCTGACCCCTTCTTTTTAAGGTGTAGAGATGAATAGGAGCGTTTCTTCCCACTGAATCATCAATTATAGTTACTATATCCGCCAAAGTGTCTTTCAGATCGAAATTTATGGCGAGTATTCTGATAGGATTTTTAGATGAAACAACCTCTGGATAGTAAGAAATATGAAGTGTATGAACTTATTCTTTGGGATTGGCAAGCTTAGGGTTAGAAATGTGTCGAACTTGTTTGAAATTTTCTTACACACATTACAAATCAAACTCGATTTCAGTTGTCCACACATCAAATCAACAATAACAGACTGACTTCTATTTAAAAATGCTATCCAATGTTCAGCAGACGTAACTGAGTCTGGCCTGTCATTGAAGTCTTTGTATTCTGTTTGAGGCTTATCAATCCCTCTATTCAAGTCTTCACTGAGAACATCAATAGCATAATTAAAAAACTCAAATGAATCTTGCTTTGCTGTTCTTTCAAAATGAGTAGCTGATTTCTCAATAACTTTTTAGTCCGCGTGGGGAGGTTTGCTTAATTGCTACTTATCCATAAATTATTCATCAGATTAGCATAAGCAGAAACAAATTCTCCACCGCTTCCAAGAATGTTTGTTTTGTTAATTTCATTATTTATACAACCTAAACAAGAAATATTTAGTAAATTCAGTTGTGTGACTCAAACAGTGCAAAATTGAACCCATATAGCAAGTATTTCTTATATTTTCTATATCCTAATTCTCCCTTATTTTAAATTAACTTTAAAGAGCTTAATCATATCCCAACTCAAAAACTCCATACTCTTAGCATCAGCATCTCTATAGGTTTCTTCATTTTCACTATAGTCTTCCATAACTTCATCTTCTTTCTCTTTTTCAATTTCTTAAAAATAGAATTTTCTTATCTGTCAGCATTCAACAATAATAAACTCATCTGGGCTGATACTTGCATCATCAATAGTACTCTCCATGTTATCCAAATGTTCTCCTTTCAGCCTGATGGATCCTTGCCTTTTCAACTCGAACTCACTGTTTCTGTAGAAAGTTTCTAAATCACTAAGAATTTAGCATTTCCAAAGTCTAATGTTCACTGTTAATTTCTTCACAAATTTAGCTAATCTTTCTCTCAATAAGTCTATAGTCATCATCCTTGACACATAAATTTGATGTATTTCGATCTTTGCAGACTTCGTAATGGGATAATAGCTAAAATTTAGATTTTTAAAGTTTGTTTCTATAAAGCCTTCATTTCCTTTTTCACTCGCAATTGCAATCCTGGGTATTTCAATTCCTCCGTAATGGATACTAAAAATTCCATAATTTCCTTATTCACAGTGAAATAGTGCAACTCCTCGATAAGGTTCTCCTTGATGTTGTAATTCAGAGAGGTTTCTTTAGGATCTTTTTACAAGTTATATGGGTGGTCTAGAATGACTACATTAGTGACCATGCCTGGATGTGCATTCCGAAGGTTAGTATCTTTAGAGTAGTTCGAAGTCTGGGTGATATATTCATTGAAGTTATGAAGGCAACTTGCTAAGACTGTATACCATTTCGAGCCTGGAACAATCTTCTTTTTGTCCTGTTCAAGTTCTGTCCACAAAGCGTTGAACTCCTCTCCTTGTGCATTCTTTTCTTCATTAGTATGAAAATTAGCCATTTCTACTTTTCTTGTTTTCAGTGACCTATAGCAAATATAAATTCTGATGAAGTAAATTTTCAGTTGAACTTACTTTAAGTACTCCTTGCAATTACATGAAACTTGAACAAAATAGAATTATCCTTTCTCAGCTCATTCCTCTTCTTTATAGATATATTTGACGGAAAAATAGTGGAGAATATATTAAGGAACTCTTCAAACATCTTAACTGGCCTGATGAGGTCATGACCATGATTCATCTCTAGTACTCCAGATAAAAAAGTAGCCTTAGCTTTCAAAGCATCATCTATTTGTCTTTCTGTTCAGTATTTAATGCAATTATACAGATCAAGCCTTGCTTGGTGAGATACTGCTTCCCCATGAAGTAGTATCATTTTGCTCTTCAGAATTTATATATTGCTAATAATGAATTTGAAAAATATACCAGTCAAATATAGAAAAAGTAAAGATAGCAATTTTAGAGGATGAGAATGCTCAAAATTAGCGATTTTAAAAGCTGCTCATTGAATAAGATAACGACTTTGTTATCCGCTAAATTTATTCAGTGGTAACTATAATATTGCGAATCTTTTCCAAACCTAAGCTTCTAATACCTATCGCATTTGCTTAAATATATTAAGCTTTTATAACTTAGTCTTAGAAAATAGCAACCACGCTTAGCAACAATACTCCATTTTCCACAATGGCCTAATCTAGCTCCTTTAGTTAAATATAAAAAGGAAAATCGGTAGGCAAATTATCTGCACAGGGTCTGTTCTGAGTATGGCCCTCTTCTTATGAAAGGCAAAAATCCATGCATATAGGTTTTGTAATATATTATCTAGCTTCTAGGAATTGTACATCTACTTTTTAGAGCCTATTATTGTCCTGCATTGCCAACACCGGATTTATTAAAACCATCTTATTTGTGTATAACAAAATTTATTATGCTTTAAAAACTTACAATAAAGGATCTAAGCCTTTGCATTCATCAATGATCTTAGAGTAAACATTGTAAGCTTCCTCAAATTTCTCTTCATTGAGCAAACTCAACCCTATTTCTCTCAACTCTATAGTAAAGTTTAGCGAGTTTAGTCTTAGATGTGCAAGGAATTAGCCAAAGAAATGTGTAGAATTCCAAAGTTATAGCTTAAAATCGAGCCAACATGACTAAAAGCAGTGTAACTCAAACTCTCTGAAAATTATTCTACTGACATTTGAGCCTGATGTCTATTAAAAAGTAAGTGCAATAATAAAATCGATTTGCTAAAATTGATCAGAATTCACTAAAATCCAAATTTCTGATAAATTCGTACCAATTATAGAGAGAAATCTGTAGAAATTACAGAGGCAGATCAATTCTAGTGATTCCATTAAAATCCCGTGACATTACCATCACCAAGCCATAATCCTCCTTTATCCAAACATTCCCTGAACTTTAAGAACTACCAAAATCCAACATTTTCAACCCTCTCAACCTTCAAAAACCAAATTCCCCAAACAAATTTCTCCACTCTTCACACAATTTCCCACACAACCCCTCTTCCTCTAAATAACCTACATTCCCCTTTCTTCCTCTAAAAGAACCACTCATCCTCTCTTCAGTACAAATTTCATACTAAACCCCACTCCAGTGGGCCGGCCAGCTGGCTTACTCTGAACCTCTTCAGTCATAATCTCTTTCAGTTATTTTTATTAGTAAAAAAATATAATTTAAGAATTCAATGGAGAAAGTTCAGGATGGGGTTTTGGGGTTTTGGGGTTTTGGGGTTTTGGGG